ATCTTGAATCTCTTGCGCTGTGGCGGCGCATGACAGCAAAATTGAGAATGATCGTAGTTAAATGGTAGCGAGCTATTAGTCTAAGAACTTCTAGAATTTTAAAACGATGGGTGAAAGGACTCTGTAGAAAATCTAGAATTTTAGAATGTCTACGTATTCAATGTCGTTCTATTTCTATAAAACGCTCTCAGACAGGGCGCTCAATATAGGAGGGCGTTTTATTCGCTAGGGGAGCACTACTATTATACGTTACTTGCGCCAAAACCAATCGTACCGATGGAAGAATTGGTGAATTCTTGCAGTTTTTCACACCTTTCGAGCCGCTATTCGATGATGATGCCTACAATAAAAATACGGTAAGCTTACAAAGATTTATGAGCACCAATCAGCTCGTTATTTAATTTGTTGGCAAGTTTCTGATTAGATGTGGCCCTATACATGTACAGTACTGCACCCCGTTTTCGCGGGGATGGACCATATTGGATTTGCAAATAAACTAGATTCTAGCTTACAAACAATCGTTCATTTGGATTCAGGATCATCACATCTGGAAGTTTATTAAAGGTCCAAGGGCGCGAAACGGGGTGCAGTACTGTATTACATGTACAGAGGAAATACGAAATTATGAGGACAGCAACTACGAAGTAGCCATGGAAAAACTTATAAATAATAATACGTCAGTAACCAGCAACCAGCATCCGTGAAATTGATTGTTTCATTGTTCGACTGCATCAAGAACACATACGATTTGTATGTGTTCTCGATGCCTCTATAAAAAAAATCTTTTACGTGTTTTAGTGAGTGTGATACTCTCAGTTGCATTTTCACAAGTGTTCCGGACATGGAGTCAAAATTAGTGGAGGTTTACACATGTATATTTTAATTGCGGCTACATACATGAAGGTGAAGAAGCGTTGAATGACCTGGTGTTTAAAGTTTAACAAACGATTGCTTATCCATGAGTTTAGGAGAGACTTACATACTTAAACCCACTAGCCGAGCACCGCCGCTTCGCGGCGGTAGTTTAGGTTTAGTTCATACCTTTCCGCCTTCGGCGGGTTAATTATTGCAGAAAAACCGAGCCTATGTTCCTATTAATAAATCGACTTTTTTAATTTATAAATCTTGGTATAGTTTTATTTTAAATACTTTTAAACAAAAGGGGATTATAATTTAAGATTTATTATATTATAAGAAATCAAATAAACTTTTGAAAAGAATTGTTTAAAGAAATTTCAAATGTTAAAGCAAAAATAAAATTTTCATTTTATTTATTTATTTCATATATTTGTTTATCATTAAAAAGGTACAAATGTTGTTTATTAAAACTTTTTTTTGATAATTTGTTTTATTTTTTGGCATATTTATATAATAATATGGATAATATCACCCTTTTGTAAAATAAAACCTTAGATAATAAATGTAAAACAATTCGATTTTCGTTATAAAATGCACGAAATGATTTTAAGTATTATCTAGTAGGCCGTGCAATTATTTATACAAAAGACTGAGCCCCAGCATCGTGCTTACCTGATTAAAATAGTTATTCTCTAATTGTCTTGGTACAATCTCTTTATTTTTGTTGGTTATCAATGTATCTTCATCATTCACATACTACAGTAGTGGCATTTATACAAACGCTACACAATATGTTTAGTTTAGCGTCGTGCTCGATATCACAAGCTGTTTCTGAAGGCTATGAATTTAGTCATATCAACGCAAAAAAAATAGTAATGACATGTCCAGCTTTCACTAATTACCCGCTTGCATTGTCCGTTTGAGGGGCAGTGCAAGCGGGTAATTATTGCAAGCTGAATCTTTAGTAAGTAACTAAAAATTATCACATCTCGTACCAAAATCAATTTAAATTATAACACTTTTAATGCATTTTAGCGTTCATTTTGTGCTGATTCATAATTAGTCATTAGACACTCCAATCTGTGCCAGTTTTGATTAAAGCATTTGGATAATGCGTCGCAAGACGCCTTGTTGCTGTTGTTGTTGACGGCGGTGAGTTTTATTTGATACTTGAGCGATGTCAATTACTGTAGGCTCGAAGTTTTTAAATTTTTCTTAATGGGTCTACTTAGCCAACCATAATTTACACCACTCATGTTGTGCTGCTGTCTTACCGCTCGATGTAAAACCTTATCATACGCCCTTGTCGGTAACATGTCCGCCTTTTAAGTAGTATCGGATTTACTGTCTAAAAAAACGCTTAGAAAACAATGGTAAAGTTCAATTCGCTTACAGTACATGTAGTAATTGTCAAGCACATATTAGTTACTTTTTCTTCGAACTAGAACAATCTATCTTTGTGGCTCAAGCGACAGCGTTTATTAGCACAGCGTTGTTCTTGCGGCCGGCTACTGTTGTACATGTAACATGTACGATTTGGCAGTACCAGATACCTCATAGAAACCCACTCAGATAACTTATTAATGTTAATACTTTTACAGCAAAACAATTGTAGTTATCATTTTAGTCATTGTAACTTGCAGTAACTACCGGGTACTGAGTACAGAGTATTACGTATATTAATAATAGAATGTCCTCAGCACCTTAATGATTTAAAAAAAAAGCGATAGCACTCGAATATTAAAAATAAAGCACTATTAGAAAAGGTATACAGTACTGTATGTCCTTAATACATGAATGCATATTTTGAACAATGTGATCCACATGAATTTACTGATTTACTGATGTACAGTACTTACTTTCCAGTTTGACTAATTGGAGCCGCCTCCAGCATTTGGGTAGTACTAGTAGTACCATTTTGGGTACATTTAGGTCTTTCTTCGAATGGAAGAGCTTCACAAGGCCGAGCAGGAACTCGCTGGGATCTGGCGCTATGTGTCCACGAACCTGTCCTTCCGCGGGCACGACACCTCAGCCCAGCAGCTTTTGACGTTCTCTAGCGAGGAGGAGCTGAGACTCGAGGAGAAAGTGAGCGAGGGCATTGCCGCATATCGCTGCGCGCTCTTGGACGCGCAAAACTGGATCCAAGAGCTGCAGGACGCCAAGGAGGCGGAGGAAGCAGCGGCGAAGATGGAAAAATACACCGTGCAGCTGCAAATCCACGTGGCCAGCTGCAGGAAGGCTCTCGTGGCCTATCGCCAGCGCGCCAAGATCGAGCGGCTCGAACAGCAGCGTCATAGCTTGCTGCCCCAGAGTCCACGGCAGGCAAAGGTCTCAGCCAGCACCAGCAGCAACTCAGGCTCGGCTGTGGATGTTACGGCGGCACTCAAGCGTACGAGGCAGGTCATGTCACAAGAAATTGAGCGTGTGAGCTCCGTGAGCAAAGTGCTGGACGACGGACGTTTGAGCCTTCGCAGTTCCCGCGAGGAATATGGCAGTGTGAATGCAGAGATCGTCGAAGTGCAAAAGAGACTCAAGACACTCGAATGGCAGGCCAAGCAGGACAAAATGTGGATCGGTGCAGGAGTCATGGTGCTGCTCTCGACTGTGTTGTTCATCGTGTACGAGCGAACGGGCCTCATTATTATTTAGAGTACAATGGCCTAGGTGGTTTGTTTACTAACGAGAATCAACAAGGGTTTACTATTATGGATTAATATGATTCCATCGTGATGAGGTGCTGGGACTCCCAGCGTGGGAGTATTACCTAGTAGGTAGCCTACATGTACACATAGAAGAGAAAAATGATCGAAGCTTTGACAAGGGCGAGGCACTATTATACTTACGTGAAGTGGCGTCAAAACTTGTCGATTCGGCTGGTGACCCTAATCTTGAGTATTTGAGGCTCATGCGGTGTTCAACCTTCAACAAGATCTCGTTGGTCTCTTCGTCTTCATCATGATGCACGTTGTGGCTGGTGGTCTATGCCATTTTGCAACTTGCTCTACATCGTCAAGAACCCCGACTTCAGAGAGCTTAACATGGCACCCGGCGCCGACAGTATGACGTGAAGCTTGTGGGCTTTGTGCGCAACAACCCCATGACCGACCGCTTCGACGTGCATAAGTTTCACCACATCAAGTTCTACTGCGCAGACGCCACCAATGCATCTCGCCGCTTCGCTTGGGGTCTAGGCATGGCCCAGATTGGCAAGTCCGACCAGTCCACGGGCAACCACGTGTCGGCCAGCTACGTCATTCAGAGCGGAGAAGTCAAACTGGTGTTCACGGCCCCGTACGCGCTCGAGACGGAGAAGGCGCCCGACGCCGTGAGTTCCATTTCTGGTTACGACCCGGAGTTCGCACAGATGTTCGTGATGAAGCACGGCCTGGCCGTGCGTGCCGTGGGAATTCTCGTCGGAGATGCTAAGGCCGCGTACGAACTTTCCGTGCAGAACGGTGGTGTGGGTGTGGTGGAACCCCAGACACTGACTGACAAAGAGTCGGGCAAGACGACAACCGTGTCGGAAGTGAAGCTTCGGGATAATCAACGCAGCACGGTGTCTGTCACACGAAACGCTCAGATTTTAGTTGAGGTTACGTTATGTTCGAGTCGACACCCAAAATGATCGATGCAAAAGTATTGTGCGCTCTAATCTAATTTTCCGATCGTGCACGCAATAATAGAGCAAATCTGTAATTGACTTGCTTTGGAAGAGAAGCGGATTAAGTACGAAATGTGATCACTTGAGTACGATCTGCGATGAGCAGTAAATTAAATGACTTTTAAAAAAAATTACGAAAAAAAATGTAAGCGAGTAAGTCACTGAATAAAACCAAAAACGCAAATTTGATCGGAATTCACAATATTGCAGCAATAATGTGCCGTTTGTGCAACTTGGCTTACAACCTAATTTTGATTAGTTATTATTCAAATGTATTCGTCTGATACATGTAGGCTATTATAGTTTTCACTGTGCTTTACAAAGCTTTTGTCGTTTATCACTGTCCCGCATCCGGGAATGAGGGGGTCGTTCCAGGCGTCGTACCGCAGGCAGGGATGACTCCAGGTCATGTGGCTACTCCTCGTCGTGCTGTCCCGTCAGGATGGTACCCTCTGGACTCGTCAGCTCGCGTACCCCCTGCCGAGAGCTTTAGAGTTGCTCTCTATAGTGGCCTTGGAACGCTGAGGCTGTTCGACGTGGGACTAAGGTGCCTCGCGCAATCGAGCCCCCTTCCCAGAGCCCCCTGTTGTCCTACGAGGGCAGATATCATGTGAGCGAACTCGTCCTTCTAGTGGAAAAGAAGCGGTGTCACGTATGTGAGGAAGGGAAGGTGTTAGGCCTCTCTTCTATTTAGCTCTTAGTCTTAGTTTCCCAACTTCTACTCAAGTGGAAGTCGAATCAATAAAGTAACTTATATTTTAAATGCTCTTGCCTACCGTTATTACCACTGAACGAGACCGTACTCCCTGAACAGCCGCGGACTACCCGGCCCCAGGAGGTGGAGGTATACGACATTTGGTTGATAAGCAGAGTAGTCTGCTCGCTAGAGAAGGTCTCGATTCAAGTGAAGACTCGCAGAGAATGCAAAACGGAAACAACAACACGGAGGAGATGGCGTCTACTGACACCGGAGAAGACGCGGACAACACCTCTAAAAATGGAGAAGGTCAACAAGGGACGAGGACGAAACCTAATTTGTCGACTACGCAAGGCCTTCAAAATGTGCAAACATCGTGGATCAAGCTGCCCATCGACTTGGGGGAGATCAGCTCGAGTACTGGAGCTGATCCGCCCGCGGACGCTTCGGGCTCCGGGGCGACTTCGACCACTACTACGCAATAGTTGGGTCCAATGTTAACACTGGACGGCGGTGGCGGTCAAAGTATGGTGCAAGGATAGCTCAACTCCCTTGAGTAATTGAGATCAATACCCCCCCCCCCCCGGAGATAGCTGCTGCTAAGCTGCTGCTATGGAAAGAGCAGATGGGAACGGGAACTTGGTGACTCCCCCGTTAACGGCTCGGGTGAGGACTACGATCCCTTCGTATCAAGGTTACACTATCCGGACCCCGGCAACATCGTATGGGCAAGATTTCAACCCGTTCTTCTCTCTACCTACGGTCCCTGAGAACAGTATAAGTACTTTCCCTGCGAGTGTTCCTCTGGGCGCGGCTAACGCCTCTTCGTAGAACGTCCAGCCAGCTAGTAGCCTACAAGGCGGGATTGGGAACGCTCAAGCTGCGACTGCCCAAGCGTCGCAAAGTGCTTCTACCCAGGCGTCCATTCTGCTTACTCGAGCCACGACTCAGGTTCAAGGGCCTCGAGCTTCGACGGTGAGCGCGAACGTCTACGGAGCCGGCCAGACAGGAGCTACCGGAGCTTCTGGAGGAGGCGGAGGGACTACTGCTTCAACCGGAACCCATCAGAGCCTCGCGTATGGTAGCTATGGAAGTTAGCCTCTACTACGCTTTCCCGATGTACAGTAACGCTTTTTCAACGACCAGTGGTCAGTATGGGATGCCTACTAGCATCAGAACGCTATCCGTATGATCCAACCTCTACTCAGAGGGGGCATCTGTGGAAAATACTCGATCATTCTGGGAGGCCTTCGAATGTGCGACTATCGGACTGGGTGAGCCGCTCCGAATTCGTGCTTTCCGTGAATGCCTAAAGGTCAGAGCCAGAGAAGACTGGTGGACGTACCTGCGCATTCATAGCTTTGAGGCCTTGGGGACTCGGTTCCACAACCAGTTCATCAGTCAAACCCCGTTGCAATTGATCGTGAACATCAAGAACACTAAGCGACCCCGGGGGATGTCCGCTGAAGTGTGGGGTGACATGATTTCAAGCCTCTGCGATGATGCCCAGTGCTACGTCCTCAACTGCATTACCAATATTTCTTGTCGGGACTCCAGAACCGGGATTGGAAAAACGCTCTCGCTACGACCATGATCGACACAAACTCTGCGGCAGTGGCCATGTTACTCCTCACGAACATGCACCGTTCAGTCGAGGACGACTCCGAGTTCGATAATGCCTCTTCCCTAGGACTTACCATGAGAAGGCTGTCCTCGGACGCATGATGAACATGATGCAGCAGATCCAGAATCTACGTGCTCAGCAACAGAGCAGCAGCAGCTACAACAGCAGCAGCAGTTGATGGAGCGTCCTATGGCTGCCACCTTTGCTACTCCTGCGATGAATTTGGCTGCGGCGTACACTCCTCCCGAGCAGAACACCTCTCAGCAATTTCAACTCAATGGAGCGTTTCCCGTCACGCCTCTAAGGGGTATTCACGTAGGACCTGACATGCACACTCGCGATGGTCATATCGTGTGTGGCTGTGGTCATGTAGTGGGATTCACTGTCGCCACCTGAACTCACTGCAAGGAAGAGGGTTACATCGGTGCTGAATGTGAGGGTGTTCCTGCCGGCGGGGTTCAGGAACGACCAGCAGAGGAACGGTCGCAGGTACTTCTTGTGTGATGAATAGTCACATGCTTTCTTAGTATCCTCTGAAGGCGTCCCTGAAGCGACACGGTGTTCCAACGGCGACAGCGTTGACACCCGTTCAGGGACACGCCCAACCAGCAGTGATGGGCGCGAGAGGGGGGAAGGGAGTGTCGCTCCTTCCTCTTGTCTATGGAACGACACGAATGGGAACACTTTGAACTCCGCGGAGGGGTCGACCGAGAGGTATGACGTGTGTCCTGTTGTGGGTGGGATAAGTTCCGCCATGCTGGAAAGCTGTGAATCGACTGTGAATGAAGAGTGCACGACTAGAGCTGAGGATCAACCGAACCGCTTATGAATAACGGAGGTGCCGGGCTCGTGTGGATCGGTGTGTCGGTGGTCAATTATGTGGTCGGCGTTTGGAGGATGAAACAAGAAACGTTTGTGGCTGATGGAGTCTCTGGGCCCGTATGGATCGGTTCCCCAGTAGCCCCGAACATTGACGAGCGTTGGTGTGCGAACGAATGAGTACTTACAAGAGAAGACCACGAAAACGAGAGAGGAATAGTGAGAGAAGAACTTATCAAGGAAGGAGAAACGGAGAGACCGTGGTCTCAAGCATACTCGGTGGAACGAGATTACCCGATGACGCCAGCCAACTACAAGAATGTAGTTTCGAGTGTGCTAGAGCTTGACGAGATAAGTGGTGAGTCCGAAGATCACCTACAACAAAATAAATTACCCCAAGATGTGCTAGAGGAGCTCGAACCACCGTCCCGAGAAGATTGTGGAACTGCGGAAGGAAGTGTCCCGATCTCGGAGACGGAACCCGAAGAGACGGAAGACGTGACCATTTCTGAAAAAGGTGCCACCGCCGAAGGAAACACAGAGGAAGTCACCCTTCCTGATCCCTTAATGGATTAACTAAAAAAGGAGCCTTCGTTCTCGAAAGTGTTCTTCGAGGGGGAACTGAACGCTTTAGAAGTCGGAAGGAAATCTGAACTGGCCGAAGAGAAGGAAGAATACGACGAGAAACTCGAAGATCGACTGCTCCCTCTTGATGAGGTAGTAATAAAGCGTCGATTGTCCGAAAACGCTGAGCAGTCGTAGGAGTTATCTCTAGCCGACTTGAGTGTTCTACTCGACACCCCCGAGGAAAAACTAGGGAGGACTCGAGAGTCTTCCCCAGGGCGACTGTGCACGCCTGAATACTGGTTGGGGTGGCACCAATAGACGCTAGCCTCGTCTAATGAAGCAAGGCGCGCCAACCGTAACTTCAAAGAAGAACCGCCAGTTCTGATCAACACCGTGACCTCGTGTGACTCGGATTACGGAGACGAATGGGCGAAACTTCGACGAAGCGGTTCTCATGGAAGGACGCACTTATGAAGGCAGTACACTTCCTGGAGTTAAAGATACCTCCTCGTACAGTGGAGGTGTGTCCTGTGGACCCCTCGGTGTGGTAGACAACATTGCTCTGGCTCCGGAAGGCTCGCCAAAAAGACCTTCCGACCACAGCAGGGCCAAGTACAGCTTGCTTGTTTCCCGAGGGATCGTCCCGGAACCCTGGCGTGCGGTGGTATGTCGAGCTGTGTACTTCCTCGTGAAAGCAGAAGCATCTTACAATGGCGACCTGTGTAAAGGGTGTGACGACGAAGGGTTGCGAGTGGAAGAGTTAAAGGACGATTCTCCGCTCCCTCCTGGGACCCTGAGCCTCCTAGCCAGGACCAGTGAACGATTTGAGCGTACCGTCGAACCCTCCGATACTCGGCTGAGAGAGCTGTTGACAAAGGAGATTGCAGAGCTACGAGAAGAACGCTTATAAGCTACGCTTAAAGATCCTCGAGAGGAGCTCGCCTTGCCGTTGGAGGAATCACAGCCCCCAGCCTCCTCCTAAATGTAAGCGGGTCAGTTTAGACTGTTCATCTCGGTTTAACGCCCGTACAGAAGCCATGGGCGCTAACGGCTCCTCTCGATACATGGAGAACGAACTGAACGGCTATGTGAACATCGTCACAGACGCGCCCGAGTCTGGACGACAACCCGGTCTAGAAAAAGTGCCGAGACCTACCGGGAACAGTTCGGCTGAAGAGGGAGACGAGGTCGTCCCTAACGGCAAGAAGGTGATCGGATCGGTGGGAGGTGTGGAAGCTCTGTCTTGGGGGGCTATTG